AAAAAAAAAAAAAAAAAAAAAAAATTAAATGAAATTACTATTTTAAAAAGTACAAATGCAGATATACAAAAGGGAAATAAAAAAAACAATACGAGTAGTATGGACTTGAAGAAAAAAGTGGACGTGAACAAATTTGCGTACCTGTTTTATCGACTTCCTCTTTTGCTTTCCGGAAATAAGTTTGTAAGTGATGTGGATAATTTGAAATACATAAGTCAGATAAAAACTGTTTTTCATCATTACTTTGATTTTTGTAATTCTCGCAATATCGTTGGTCTTGTGGAATTACTTAAAGGATACGCCAGCCACTCCATGTTCCACAAGACTTCGAGCAACTCGAGGAGATGTGTCAACCATGATAGGGAGGACAAGTGTGCCACGAGGAGGAAGCTTTCCGTCACCGGCGCGGTGGACGCGGTGGACGCGGCAGATGGGGCCGAAGCGGAGAAGGCGTTGCATCAGGATGGCGAGGAACAACCCTCCTTGGGCAATTCGTTCGACTCGACGGCAGCGGTAGATACGACCACTACAGCGGCAGATGACGCGGGCGATGATGCCGCCGCGCAGATGGACAATTCAGAAGAACACACTGGTAGCATTACCACGATGATGGAGGTGGCTTCCACTGAACAGCAGATCGAAAAAAATCAATCACAGAATGATCACCCATTTGAGAATGAAAAGGAAAACGTTATGGAAAATGGCGACACAGATGTAATTAAAGGAAGCACGTGTGCTAGCACCGTCAGTGCGTATTGCCCAAGTGTACATGGAGACAACCATTATGATGTGCAGGACAAGGAGATGGTAGATACACATGATAAGGAATTAAAAATAAAAAAAAAAAAAAAAAAAAAAATCAACTGCCAATGGAAATAATTGTATTGGAAGTATGTCCAATCAAGTGTTAGAACCAGTGGACTGTCTCAACTTTGAAGAAGGCCAGAGAAACGAAAGCAACACATTGGAAAAAGGAGGAGGAGGGGTAACGAAGGGAGATGAGTCGGGTAAAGAATCTCAACCGTATGTTAATAAAAGCTTCAACCTAGTATTTTGTCTGTTCGACAATGGAAATCATATCTACCTCCTCATTTACGAATCGGACAGTGATAACAGAAAGAAGTATGCTAAGAATAAACTCCTGCGAAAAAAAAACGAGTGCAACAATATTGATTATTTCTTTAGGGAGTTATATGAGAAGGTACATCAGAGTAGCTCGAAGGATGGGGCCTTTTCAATTTTGAAGGCTCTCTTTTGTAATGGGGTTGGTGCATCGATGGGGGACTCCTCCGTGGGTCTGTCCAGTGGGATCATCCCCCAGAGTGGAATGAGCGGCATCGGATCGAGTGACTTGGCTGTGTCGGTGGGGTCGATGTGGTCCATGAGCGGAACGAGTAACCGCAGCGGAAGCAACAGCAGGGCCAGTGGTCACAGGGCGCACCCCAGCCCAAGCGTTAACACAGCCGTGAATGGAAGCGTGAATGGAAACAGTGCGGACGTTGCCTCGGCCACTATAAGCGGAATTAGTAGCATGGGTACTGTCGCTGGCCCCATCGGCGGCATCGGTCCCAACGAACAGAGCTGCTTCAAGATGAGCGAAATGCTCCTCAACAAAAATGTTCTAAAAAATATACTTCAAAATTTTAGCGCATTTAACATCACCAAGAATTTGAATTTGAAATTGACCAACGTCATTGAACTGACTTACTACGACTACCTCTTTATAAAGAGGCACAAGTTTTTTTACTCGAGGAGGGGCGTGAAGATTTACGACGTGTGCAATAATTTGTATGGCGAGGGGGAACCCGCGGAAGAGGACCTGGGGGGTAGTGCCGTTGGTGGAAGTGGCATTGGTGGAAACGTTGTCGGAGGGAAGAGCGTCATTGGCGGGCGGGCGAACAGGAATGCTCACCAATTAACGCACAAGCTAAAAGAAATCATCACAAAATTGTACTCTGGCAAAGGCACCAATAATACCTTATACAATTTTAGGGGCATGGTAGCTAGCGAAAGTAACCACTCTGCAATTGGCGACGTCAGTAGGGTTAGTGCATACGTTAAGGATGAAAAGGCCAAGTTAGGAGGAGTAGTGACACCGGTGGGAAGTTTAGACGTTGCGGGTGGAAGCCGTGGCGGCATTACCGATTACCGGCATGTAAACCCCTTCCTGTGGGGATCGGAGAACAGCACCTTTGCAGGGAACCTGAGTGGAACGACCAAGATAGCCTACGACTTCGCCAAAAATGGAATCCTTCTGAGCAAAGGGTTTAAGGAAAAATGTTTGAATAAACTAATAACGAAAAAAAACGACAGGAGAGACCACAAAGATGCTCAAAGGAGTAGAAATAAAAAGGACCAGAAGAATTGTGTAGGTGATTGTGCTAAACCCTGCAACACAGGGAATGGAAAACAAGTACCCTCAGGAAAAATTGCCATGAACAATGAATGTGGTGAATATAGCAACTTGGATGTGGTCCCAGATCAGAGCAAAGAGAACGTCGTGAACTGCATCATAAAGGAGTTCCTTCTCAACCGATGTGAAGATAACGCCATGGGGGATGTGGTGAAGGAAATAATTAGAAGGTACAACTCTTTTGGGGGGAACACGAGAAGCGCGTCGAGGGGAAAGAGTCACCCCGCAGACATGGTTGTGCATCCGGCCAACAGCTTCAGTGCATACGACGTGTATAAATTGTTTCTTCTGGATAATGACACGAGGAGCAGAGGCATCACCAACCAGAGTAGTGCTTCGGTTGACAGCTCTATCGGCAGCTTGATGAGTAGTGGGGAAGGTGCCTCCCCCCCTGGCGCAGCCAACGAACCACAGGTGGCACCCCTCTTCAAAAATAAAGAAGAGAAAAAAAAGTACCTGAACAACGCCCTCTTCGATAAAGCCGCCTTAACCAATTTTCGAAGCTTCGTGCTAAAAAAAAGACAGATGGAATTTTTTTACAAAAACTGGAACGGGCTTGCAAATTGCATAGAGAGGGAAAATAATTTAGTGGAGGTCGCGAACATTTTGTCCTTCCACCTGAACAGGAGTGACTTCGCCAAACAGGTGAAGTGGCGCAGTGTCGAGGAGGTCGAGACCAAGGTGAACTTGAGCACAAATGGACTCAGCGGAGTGAAGGTTAAGGCAGAAGAAAATAAAGCAGCTTCCTCCCCTGCGTTGCCCAGAAACTGCACCAAAAATGGAAACCACACGAACGTGGGCAATTCTAAACACGCTATTGCAGAGGGGGCAAATTCAACCATGTGTAAAAGTGAGGCCGCAAGTGGGCCACTAATCACTTCAGAAGAAGGTCATTCCCAACCTGGCGAGGGAGACAAAAATAATGAAAAGGACGACAAAGACGCAAATGGTATTGTCCTCACCAGTGGTGATAATAAGTGCAGCTTTAGCGGACGTAACAGCATTTTCCCCTCTGTTGTGAAGGACCAGAAATGTGAAGAAGTTGCCAAGTGCACAAAAATTTCAAGCAATAGCAGAAACGTTGGCTCGAAAAATCAGCTAGTAAAGGAAGAAAAAAAAATCAACCCCGATCTGTCCACTCATGACAAAAATGATCATAAAGGGGACGGCCAAGAAGAAGGTCAAAAGGAAGGTCACGTAGAAGGGCAAAAGGAAAGCCAAATAGAAGGACAAAACCATCGTAATGGAAATCGTAATCGCGATCGGGAGCAGCAGCAAGAGAACGATGGCGAAACCTTTGACGAGCTCATCAACCACAACTATGACAAAATGAAAGATCTTTATAATAACCTAAATGAAGAAATAGTAAAGAAAAAACTGCTACTCATGAGCAAAATTATGGATGAAAACCACTTTTACAACGTTGCTGATATGCCCCTGTATGTAAATTTCGTCTTCTACAAGTATACTTGCGTTAACACTTGGAACAACTTGGTTCATAGTTTAAGGGAGAGCTTCATAAGGGAGGAGACCTACTTTTTCAGTACAAACGAGGTAATGAACAAGGGAGTGGGTGCAGAAAATGGCCTAGATCAGGTGTTTTCTCTCACTCCCATGTCGACAACCTTGCCAACGGAAGCAGCATTGCCCGAGGAACAGAAGCATGCTTGCGATGGTTACGGGGGAGAGAAGGATCGTAATGATGACAAAGGAAAAGCGGCCACCGTTGAAGAGACAGTGACAATACAGTGTAGTAATAATAACCCTATAGGGAAGGAGAACGGCCCCGAGGAAGGAACCAAAATGGAAGACCAAAGAAGTGAAACAGTTCCTCCCTCAGGCGTAGGCCAATCCACGTCATCTGCCCCACCTATTGCGACAGACCCAAAGAACAGCACTCCCAGCTGTAACCAAAAGAAAAATGCGAAAAATGCAAAAAATAGTAAAAATGAAGAGAAGGAAAAGGCAAATAATTTTACGTGTAGTGTGTGCTTCAACAACGAATTGAACAACATTAACATTTTGTACAAATGTGTTGGATGCTCCATTTACATTCACAAGTACTGCTACGGAATATACCAGAAAGGAAGGAGCGATGAATTTCTGTGCGAGAAGTGTGCATTTAGCAAATACTTCAACAAGAAGCGACATCAGGGTGAAGATCCCAGTAAGAGCAACAGCCACTCGAAAAAGAAAAAGAAAAGCAGCAGCAGTGGAGGAGGAGGGGGAGTAGCGGCATTGGCAGGGACTGATGATGCGGCAGCGGTAGCAGTAGCGGCGACGAGTAGTGGGCACGTCCATGACTGCAACATGAAGGACCCATGCGATAATAACCCAAGCAAGAGCGTGCTGGATATATTGAAAGGATTTGAAAGTTGCTGCTACATATGCAAAAAAGATGGAGGTGCCTTGAAGAAAACCACGACAAACCAGTTTGTTCACATTTTTTGTGTTTTATTTTTTATCTCCAAAGTATTTTGTTTAAATATTTACAATTTGAACCTATGGGATGTTAGCAATTTGAGATCCTTCGAGAATGTCTGCTGTATTTGCAATAAAAGTGGAGCCGTCATAAGTTGTGCCTACTGCAAAGAAGGCGCTCAAGAGGAATACATGCAGAGTAGAGAAAACGCATACACAACAAACCATGCGAAGAAAGAGAAGAAGTGCAATAAGTGGTTTCACCCCCTGTGTGCATATTTGGAAGGGTACCATATGAATGTTGAAATTTACGAAGATTTGTTTGTAATGACTTATTTTTACGATAACTGCTTCTCGTGCTTCCACGTGATCACACACTGCAATGACCACATCCCTCCGGGTAGCTACCAAAATAGGGAAGCCGTGAAATTGAAGAGGAGTAAGTCCTACCTGAGTAGCAGCAGCCATGGTTGCAGCGTCGGAAACGTTGGTGGCAATAACTACGGTTCCGCGTTCCCCAAGTCGAGCGACAAGGACGCACAAAACAAGGAAAAAAACAACTGCCAAAGTAGTAAAATCGCGACGAGCGCCCCATGTTCACACAACCAGCAGAATGGCAGTAACAGCTCGCCACCTCTTCAAAACTGCGTGAACGCCATTCTTGTAAAAGAGGAAACCAACAACGAAATTTGCCCGACTTATCCGATAGAAGAAGCCTCCATGTTATAGCTAGCTAACAAATAAGTTATGACCCGTTCAGGCAAAAATGGAAAAAAAAAAAAAAAAAAAAAAAAATAGCCATTTTTACGTGCACACATATTTAAGGAACAAACGAACGGACTGCTTGATATGAAAAATGGTGATATGAAAAGGAACAGAAGAGAACGCAAACTTTGTTATGCCCCTATATAGGTACCATTTCCGGGAGTCCATGTCCTCCCTCATGAATGTTACGGGTGGAAAACAAGCAGCTCGTTTTTTTTTAACTCCATTGGGGGCATTATCATTAACTTTGGTATGCATATTTTTTTTTTGTTCGTTCTGTGGGGTTAGCACCCAAAGAGGAATAAAAACAACCTTTTTTTTTTTTTTGCGAAATGAATATTTTTGCTCCTGTCTGTATTTTTTTTCTACGCATATACATGTAACATACTGGTGTGAACACTCCCCATATGTGCAACTTTAAAATGTAGGAAGTGAAATTGTGAATATTTTTTCATGCGCTGTAACAGAGCTTATGTGCGCTTGTGTATGTACACGTAAATTTTTTTTTTTTTTTGCAATTCTCTTAACTTTAAGTCTTATTCGATAGTGTGTTCCCGTGTATGTGTTGTGTATTGCCTTAAAAAAAGAACTTGCACAGAGCACTTTTGAATATAGCTTTTTTTTTTTTTTTTTACCTCCATAGGAATGGCATAAAGATGGCGCACAGATGACATGCAGATGGCGTGCACGCAACGCGCAAATTGGTGTAGGATACCTCATAACGCAGTTATGATCAGGCGAATGCACAGTAGTAAGTGCATAGCTCAAAAGTGCGGGGATTACTCGCTCGCGTGAAATGAGAAGGAGGCGGCCACAGCTTAAGTACGCACTTGTGTAACCACACATAATGCATGTACATTTTCCTATCGTGCGTGTATAGCTCGTATTCTCCATCCATTCGACATACCTTCAGAATCGATTACGTGTAGTGGCCCTCTCAACTATGGGGTTCTCTTCCACTACTCCGTTACTTATGAAGCGATCAAAATGACCAACATGGTTTATGCTCAGAAATATTTGATGCGTTTAATCAACTTTTGATCTTTTTTTTATGTAAGAAGTGCTAGTCACACAGGGCAAGCGGCGGCAGGAGGAGAGGAATAAAAATATGTGTACGTTTATATTTGTACCTAATACGGATGTAAATATATATATGTATGCTTTCATGTTGATAGTGTACCCCGTTCGGCTTTATTTTCCCTTACTGCGATCCTACGTTTTGCGCCTTTTTCTACCCCCCTTTTGTTTTTTTTTTTTTGCGTGAGCCACTGGCGCGGTGTATTTCTCTCTCTCTGTCGCATACCATGGTATGAACTGCCCAGGGCGCCACAGCTTCAGGATTATGGCTTCCTCGTTTTGCACCGCGTCGGCATGCGCAAATGGGCGGTGATATGGCACATATGCCCCTGTATTTACATATAAACGTACTTATACAACAACAATTGTACGTACATGCGATGTTATATGGAAATAGGCCCCAACCTATTGTTCAACCCATGAAGGAAAACTCCTGTTGGAGAAAGCCCACTCACTATTCGTAGCATTGTATATAACCCCCAGCCTACGCCCACGTGATGAGTGCATTAATGTATAACGCTCACAAGAGAGGGCAAGGAGGTAAAAGATGCTTGCAACACTTGCCCCACAGTTTCCTTTTTTTTTTTTTTTTTTTTTTCCCCACTGTTCCACGGTAGTAGTAAATAACAACAGTAGTAACAACAACAGTAAGTAACGACAACACAAGTAGTGACTGCAACAGGAAGTAGTAATTCTAGCAATATAGTAATGCTAGTTATGGTACTAACAGGAGAAATAGTAACAGTAACAGTAACAGAGTAATGGTAGTAACAAATGTGAAATGTTATTCTCAGCTAGGGAACACGTGTACATACACAGCAGATCGCCTCCACGAAGAAACGCATACGTTTTTGCATATAGCAACCGCATGTGAGGTTGGAGAAGCGTGCTGCACACATTTATACGGATGAGGGCAACACCTGCTTGTTTGCGCTAGCAAAACATACAACAGGGTAAAAGCACATATCGTGGAGTGTTTACAGGAAAATTTTTTTTTTTTTTTTTAAAGTGCTTTTCTTCATTTGTTTTTCTTTTTATTTCCCTTTTTTTCCCGTAGCTTTTTGTTTACCTTAGGTCATTTTCTTTTTGTTTGTTTTTGGTATCCCATCTTTTTCGTTCTTGTTACTAATTTTGTATCTCTTTTTTGATTCGTTTCCTTTTTTGTTGGCATTCCCTTTTTCCGTGTATGTTCTTTTTCCTTTTCGCTTATCAGCATCTTGTTGCTTTCTTCTTGGTCGTGCCTTTTTTTCTGCCCCTTACGGACCAAGCTTATGCGCGTACGGCTTACACGTTTACGCCCATATGTTATATACTATTATATAGAACAAGGGCCAGGCAGGGCAGCAAACTCGAAGAGGAGAAGAAAAAGCTATCTAACCAGATCAATGCGAGCTGAAAATTTATAAAAAAAAAAAATATATACATTTGAAGGTAGCCCAGTTTTATCACATTTTTGTAAACCCCTGGGAGGGAACATGCCTTTATTGAATACAGACCCAACAGTGAGCAGTGCGTAGAAGCTCCTACCCAGGAAGCGATACACACAATTGAGAGAAAACAACGCAAGTAAAGGGCACATGCATACACGAGTAAGTGCTCAAACCAGTCATTAGGAATGATCAAATGAACAGTCTCGATTCGTTATCTTCCTAAAGAAAAAAAAAAAAAAAGAGGAAGAGACCAGCTGGTATGCATAACACGTGTTTTAAACTGCCTAGGCCTGCAAATATAAAATGAAAGGAAACTATTTATATGAAAGAAGCCACCCCAGTAATTGGAACCCTAACGCCCAGATGAATAACAGGAGAAAGTTAACTGTAAAAAAAGGGAGGAATAAGGACATGTACAATTATAACGTAGGGGTGAATAAAGGTACAGGGCCACATGTGAACCCTTCAAATGATAAAAACAAGGGTTACGTGAATGAGGAGGAGGGAGAAGAAGAAAACACCAAAGGTAAGATTCCTCAAAAGGGTATCACCTCTTACCATTATGTAGACCACGGCTACTACAACATGGGAAATGCGAACAGAGTGTCGTATGCGAAGCCTAGTTATTACAATCAGGCATACGTCAAATTTCCAAACGGGAAGGCTGCTGCTGGTAACCCTAGCACGGCCGCTGGCTACGGAGGCAGCGGATATGGAGGTTATGGTTATGCTGGTTATGGGAATTATGGGAACCATGGGGGTCATAACTACGGGTACCAAACGATGAACGGTGCTTATGACCAGTACGACGGGCAAACCCAGTTTAGCAACCAGTACGACTGCTACGATAATTATAATGGGTATGGTGGGAGCGGGTACAGTGGTTACTATGGCAACGGCTACAACAACTACAATAGCTACAACAACAACCAGCAGCAACAGCACCAGCACCTGTGGAATAATAACAGCGCCAGCGCGCAGTACTCTCACAATCAGGGGGTCAGCAATTATGGCCCCCATAGTTACGGTACCCAGGAGAAGAGCGCTCAGCAGGCTAATTACGAATGTGGTGCAGCCAAGCATCAGCAACATGACCCTCCTCAAGTACCCCACAAGGGGAACGAGGTTCATGTAAAATTCAACGAGCTCATTAGCGATGTGTATTATAAGTCATCTTATTACTTAAAAAGAAATAGAAAGTACATGCAGAAGCTTCTAAAGTCGAACTGTGTGATAAATATATATCTGGTGAGACACATGGAAGCTACGCATAATAGGGAAGTTGTGGAGAGCAAGGATAAGGTTAGGGACCTAATTTATAAGGACGCGAAGCATTTGGACTGTGGGGTAAGTGAGCAAGGCAAACAGAAGTGTGAAGAATTGAAGAATGATGGGAATAACAGGCTGTATCAGAAGGTTATGAAGTTGTACAAGGACTCTTTGCAGGAGGTGGAATTGTCCTCCGCTTCTAGCATTGACAAGAGTGGTGCTGACCCCGGGCCTACCGATGATAATGCGAGGAAGGGCATCCTAGAACGCAACAGCAACTTTGTCATTATCAGTTCCCCCCTGAGGAGATGCCTCGAAACCATGAAGTACTACTTTAACTTTAAAAAGAACATTTTGATTTACGAGTCCGTGCGGGAAATGGCCGGCAACTACGTTAGCGACCAGAGGTCCAAGACGTCCGATATAAAAAAATTTTGTGAAAAAAATTTTGAGGACTATGAGGTGATATGCTTTGGCGAAAACGATATTTTTTATGCAGACAAATTTAGGGAGTCGGCCGACCAGGTGTACTGTAGGTGCTTGCAGTTTTTGAAGATGGCGCATGCGCTGGCTGTGAATTATTTTGCCTCTCTCGAGAGGGACAGCGAGGCGGCAGAAAAGGGGGAGCATGTCACTGGAGCGGTTGAAGCGGCGGACGTGGCGGACGCGGCGGACGCGGCCGGGCAGGGGCTTGTCCCAGATAAGGAGTCTGTGTGTGAGAAAAACCACCACGGGGGAGAAGTAGTATTAGACGCAGGGCAAGTAGCAGATGAGAAGGAGACCAAGGGAAAGGGAAAAAAACGCGTGTACAACATCGTACTGGTTTCTCACAGCTCGTTCATTTTGCATTTTTTGGCTCTGCTGGATTACTTCGATCTGGGTGCGAGAAACTTTAACAATTGCGACATCAAGAAAATTGTGATCCCGTTGTCCAGCACGTTCCTCTTTTTTAACAACGTGGTGAACATGCAGCTAGCAAAGCCCGTGTGCACGAATAATTTCCCCATAGCCTTTAGGAACAAAAACAAAGTTGTAACAAAAGCATTCAAGGACAAAAACATTTACACCCTGAGCAGTTACAACGACTTTGATGAACTGACTTGCCAGCACCCATGTACAGTGGTCATATATCAGTACGCCTCCCTGGTGAATGAAGAAAAATATTCTAAATATTTAGAGAAGGTACAAAATTTTATTGACCTTGCGAATAGGGAGCATGAGGAGCAGGAGGAGAATTTTTTCTCCAATGGCATGTTCAAGAATTTTGTAAGGGAGAAGAAGGATATGGGGAGGCGTATCCTGGTGACAGATGCTAGTAAGCATTTGCTTTATGTGCAGGAGAAAAATGCCTGGGAAGTTAATAAGAAGGGTTTTTTTGTAGGTCAAAATGTGGTTATTATAGTTTTGCCACATGTAGAACCCACTGTAGTAGTAAGTTCTAACAACAGCCCTAGCCAAAGTGATGAGCCAAAAGAAAAATTGAATGAGAAGTCTGTACATCTAGACAATGTACTGAACATTGTGAATAATTATAATCATGTGCAGGACTTAATCAAATCGAAAGACTTTTGGAAGGTTCTTAAGGAGAATATAAATAATATGGACTTGGGTGCATTTCAGGAATACCTCATTGAGAAATATACAAAAAGGGTCAAGTGTGAAGAGGCACATAATTTTTGCTACCTCGATTTGTGTAGCTGTTTGCAGAGTAAAACCTTTATGGAGAAATTCCAAGACAGATGTAATGGGTACTTGAAGCGTCTGAAGGAAAGGTGTGATGCTTTTGCGTATGTAGATATGGAGAAGGAGTGTAGGTACATTAATGAGAATCTGCTCGAGGATATGTTCCCTAGGGAGTATACCTCGTGTGGAAGGGGGAGGCTGCCCACCAGTGGGGACCGTGGTGGTAATTGGGCCAACGGGAAAGAGGACGCTGCGCTGGATGAACACACCTTGGTTAGGAAGAAGTTTATGTGCATTCCTAGGAGGGCAGCGATCACTGCGAAGGTGGCTGCGGAAGCATTATTTGGCCACTCCAATCAGGTAGCAGCAGGTGGGGCGGCCTCATCACCCACAGGAGAAGAGACCGTGGTATCGAGCAAGAATTTTCTGCAGGAAAATATCAACACGCTAAAGTCCTTCCCGCAGTCTATTCAAAATTTAAATGTGGAAATGTTTTATCGGGACCACTTCTTCTACTTCCATTGCCTGCACCGATTTATAAAAAGCAAAAATAAAGTTGAAGGACTTATCATATCCAAGCTGCTAACCTTCCTCGACCTGTTGAAAGCCTTTGATGTGAGTGCATCGAATAAAATTTTTCAAAAATTATTCAAATTGGAGGGTCTGATTGAGAACAACACCAGTTTGGATGACGAGGACAGGCTGGTCAACACGTACTCCTGTGATAAGAAGTGCGCCCAGGTGAATAACACCTCCTACTATGACGAGTCGGCCAAGAAGTACAAGTTGATTCAGACTTTGCGAGGTGAGAACCTTCGACGCCAGTCGCTGGGTGATATACTGCGCGGCGTCCATTCTACACGTGTACACCGCTTCTCTCCTGTGTGTGCATCCTTAACACAATGGCAATTGCCCGTTTTACCCATTTTGCCCATTTCACCCATTTTGCCCATTTCACCCATTTTGCCCATTTCCACAGGACGGAAGAAGAAAGTTGTGGACGACCTAAACTACATGCGTTACAATCTGCTCACCGTTGCCGGAGGAGCAGAAAACGTTTTTATTTTGAATGTCCTCAAATAATTAACGTACCCTCCGCCACTTTGATATTCCTTTCCCCCTCCGTTTGTGTAAATGTGCGTGGAGGGATTCCTTTTGGTTCCTTTTTTTTTAAATTAATTTTTTTTGCATTGCGCTTAGTAATGTGTCCGCCTTATTTTTATCATTTGAACTTCAAACCGTTTCACAAATTGATGCGGTATGCTCAACACTCCAATTTGATTTTTCATAGCAAGTTTTATGCGTATGAGATGTGGGGGCGGGTGATCCGCCTGGTGGGAAATTTTGGCCGATTGCCTATGTGTTTAAGTGCACATAAGTGATAGTTTTGTGTCCAAGTTGTAGCGCTTCCTCTCCCCCCTGTGGGGTATGCAAGCTGGTTGGTTACTCCACTTTGGGAAGTACGCGGGTAGCTTTTTTTTTTTTTTTTTTTTTTTGCCGACCGTTAGGTCTAGCAATTGGCCAGACGGGCTTGGTCAGTTTTTCGCGCGTTTGGGAAAATGGAACACAAGTGCTCGCTCAGCGGGGTACACAAAATTGGGATGATGAGAACGATGCGCACAAGTTGCTATATTTTTTTTTTTTTTTTTTTTCTGGTGCAAATTTTGCAGCCCCTTGTTTGGGCTTTTCCAATTTCCCCCTTGGGCGTTCACTCGACTCAGACTTAAGGAGAAATTTCGGTCGAGTACAATTTTTTTTTTTTTTTTTTTTTTTTTTTGTTTTGGTTTTTCCTTCAATGTGTAAGGGAAGACGTTTGTGTGTGGCCGTTCGAAGACCCTCATTTTGCACTACTAAGTAATTTTGTTTTTGCGATAGGCCACTTGGTTGCTTCCGCGTTTGTACCCATCAACTATCCCACCTGTGCTTTTTCCCCTCTTGAGCGAAGATGTGCGTGGGCACATATCTCTGCGTACCGATTGGAAGAGGAACGAACCAACACAACACACCATGAACGTGATGAGGAGGATCCTCTTTGCCCTGGTGGCAGTAAGTAGCACAGTGGTCCATGGTACGGAAGTGAAGGACAAACTATTTAAAGGTATAAAAAGGAACACCACATTTTTAGTATTGAATGAACCCATTGTGGACCTGGGGCTCAGTGAAGGGTTGTTGCACACCCTACTGTTCGACCTGGAGGTCGGAGATAACCTGTACACCCTGGACGAGAATCTATTGAACCAGAATAATTTGAAGCATTCGAATATTTTCCACCTGTTGAAAGACATATACAAGCAGGTGGAGGAGAATGGCCAACGGGGAGACGCCATTCGGTATGTGTTCCTCTGCACGTCTTTCACCAGAGTGCACCCGCTAAACCTGGAGCTTCTTCTGCGCAAGTTCAACAAGTACATTTATAACGGGAACAGCCACGAGAAGGGGGACATAGACGTGGGCGGGATTCTCCGGGAGTACAATGAGGAGGTGCAGGGGAAGCGAGCCGCGTTGGGGGGGATGAGCAGTGTGGGTGGCCGCGACAGCGGCAGTGGGATCCCCGCCAAGGACCTCATCGAACGCATGGTGCAGGAGCAAGTGGACTTCCTTTCAAATGACGACAAGGAAGGGAGTGATAAGTTTGTGAAGCCAGGTGGAACATACAAGGGGTTCTTCATTGGATACGGCTTTAGTGACCCAGTCCCGTCTAGCGCAAGTGGGACCCCCGCCAAAAATGGGTTCCTTTTCCCCTCCTTAAATAGCGGCCTTATAATGGACATCACGCTGTTAAGGAACCTTTACAACCATTTGATGATGCATTCCGGGGGGGAACAAAATTTAAAGCTAATAAAAGATAACGTACGTGAACTGTCCAATTATATTGAGGAGCATGTGCAGGTGAAGCTAACCCCATTTGAAAATGCTTGCCTCACAGATCGAGGCAACGTTTTCCTTGTTGAGAACGAGGGAGGAACAAGGTATGATGTGTATAGGTATTACCTTGTGCTGCATCTATTTAGGGATTACAAAAAGGAGAATAATGTTGATAAAGGACATGATGTGGGGGGAACGGAAATGATGACCCCCTCGGGTGAAGAACAACAACCAACTGATATACAAATGGCACAACTAATAGTCACCTACTTCAATCTGGAATACCCCATATCCACATGCACAAGTTATTCCATTCGTTCTAATCAGGAGACATTTGTGGATTACGACAATTATCACCTCATGAGTATTGAAAATGAAATAAAGCTAGACAAGTACATCAGGGAGACAGAGGACGTGGAGTACAACTCCATTGAAGAATATAAAAGGAAGTTGAGTCAGATTAATCACAAGTATGACAACCTGTTTGATGAAAGTGAACGTACCTGGACTCATAAAAATATTCTGCTCGGAGTTGTAACGAGTGCTGAAACGGAACATCGAATAGCCCATGTGAAGAACACCTATGGGAATAAGAAAATGACTCAGCAGGTGTTCAATTTGTACTATGGTCACGGGGGGGGAGAGGGTTCCTCTGAAAAAGGCAACCAATCAAGTGGAGCAAAAGGACAGGAAAAACATGGCTCAAAAGAAAATATTCTCGACCATGATTTCCTCAAAAGTGCCTTCGAAAATGAAAAAATTGACATTGAAATAATTTACTTCTCCGATAAGGAGAGCAAACAGTATGATGACACCCTCCACTTGGAGGAGGAAGACAAAGAAGCGGACTCTTCAAATGAGCAAGACTTGTGGAAGAAGGAAAAAAATATAATTTATTACTTGTATGAAGAATATGTTAGGAAAAATTCGCCAAAAAATTTTTTTTTCATTTCGCATGATGATACGTTTGTGAATGCAAAGACGTTAATCGATGTGATCAACCTAACTCGTAACGAATGCACTCACTCGAGGAGACACATGTTGAGCAAATACGTCAAGTCACTTGACCACATGGATGAAAGGGAAGCTAAGTTTTTGAACAATTTTGACCAAAAATACTTACCCCTCTATAGGTACCTCAAAGCGAACTTTGTAAAAACAATTAACGAGTTGAAGAAATATGATTATGTGCCGACCTACTGTAAAGGTGCGGGGGGAGGGAAGGGTGTGTCTGGCGGGGTGCCTCTCACAAGTGTGCCCCTTTACATCGGGAAGAGGTACTCCAGCAACTCCTTGTCTGGGCATGAAAGCAGCTTCTTCCCCTACTTGGCTGGCGCTGCCGGGATGGTGCTCAACGCGGAGGCAGTGAAAAAGATTTACTTCTGCAACGGGGGCTGCGATGGGGAGCGGTCCCACAGGCAGCGTTCACATGGTGAGCAGCGTCCACATGGCGAGTGCGACGCGAGCCTACTCAACGACGCCGCTCTTGGCCAGTGGGCAAAGGGGTTAGGAATCCTGCCCATCAATTTCGAAGGTTTCTTCCCCAACGGCCCCGAACAATACCCCGCAGAATACCTAAGCACGATAACGCCCGTTTCATTTCACAAACTAAATGAAGGGAGGACAGTTGAAGAAACGAAGGAAGCGTTCTTTCACCATCTAGTTAATCCTACCCAAGGAAAGAACAAAACCAACCACAAGAAGGAACAAGACATATGTGTGGATTACCTAGACAGAAATTACAAAAACACAATTGATAATATATTTCACTTCTTCTTCTATGTGAATAAAATGAAAGAGTGTACATCGGATGAGTCTGTAATTAAAACGACGGAACGGATATACGACAAAATGGGTTCTAGTAAAAAGTTCAGTCACCTCTTTGAAATGACTACCTTCTTTACACCGGACGTGGAAGACATGCTTTACTTCCAGAAGAGGTCATCTAGCAAGGGAAACCTTAACAATGAAAAGGGAAGCAAAGACACGTACACTAACAATTATGTGCACAACAAGGATGCACCAGCTGGGCATGGACACACTGGAAGGGAAGACTTCACCAACTTTAGTGCAATGGACGACCTGGGGGAGGACGACGACTTGGGAGAACAGGAGCACTTGAATGCCATGAACGACTTCGGGTCGCTAGACGATATTGATGAAGAGGAACAGTTTGATGATGATGATTACGATTATGAAGAGTACCTGGATGGACTAGGGGCGCATAAAAAGGACCCCGGGGGGGACCCTACGCATGGCCCCCGCGACGACCACAACGGTGACCACAACGACGACGAGAATGACGACGATAATGACGACAATGACGATAATGATGACCATGATGGAAGTTTGGACCTTCCTCCTGAAGGAGGCGAATTATAGAATTCATTTTGGAGGAATATCCGCGCCTCCTTTCCCACGCGGAGTACCCCTACCCCTTTGTGCAGGGAGCGCTTATGTGCCGCTTCACCATTGGCGGTTAGAGTGTTTGTCAATTTCCACCACAATGCTGCTACACCGTTGCGCTGCTAAAATTCCGCGTGCAGATCTGTTTGCCTTTTTTCTCTTCTTAAAGTATCCCCGCGAAGTCACGCATGTAAGGAAGGGGCGTTACAAGTTGATGAAGTTTTTTTTTTTTTTTTTTTTTTTTTTTTTGAATGCACCTTGAAATGATGCAATTGATTTGGTCATGTGCCACAGCACGCAAGGAGCAAATCGGAATGGGTATGTGCTCAACAGCAAAAGCAACGCTTGCGCAGGTGCAAGTGTATGGGCGGGTAAACAAAACGGGTAACAGGACACAACACGAATGCAGGCACACGCACACGCAATTAACTTCGTATCACATAATGCACTGTGTGTGGAGAGGGAGAGAGAAAGTTGCTCCCCTTTAATGGGGCAATTGTTTGAAAAGCTACTGGCTGCTTGCACGACTAGCTCTCTCCAACGCGCCTGTGTGTAGTATACCACCTACATCCGTTGCACACCGCTGAGACCTCCCCCCTCCGAAGAGCACTCCTCGTAGTACATACACCGGAGGCGGTAATTCAAATCTTCTATTGGCCCCAAATTAATGGGATTAAAAAATAAGAACTCTTCAGACGTGCAGTCCTTCGCATATGCATTCACAGATTGTAAAATCTGAAGTGAGATGTTATTGTTTAAGTGGCATTTCTTAACTAACGATAGGCACGTTTGAGATTTCTCCCGAGGTGCACTGTTCACTAATGATGGGTCATTTGGTGAGCTCACGTAATTGAAAAGGTGGTCATACGTCTTTAGGAGATGTGCCCCTTTGCCTTTATTCCATGCTTCGTTCAAGATTAGTAAGTCTTCACTTGCATGGAGTAAACTTTGGTTGAAATGTGCTCGCCTTCCCCGTCGGCTGGGCAGGGCGTCGTCATCGCTCTCACCACAGCTATCGCGACTATCACCATCTTCATCGCGTCCCATTTCGTACATGTCGTAGTTTATGTCCTCGCGATTATTTTCTTCAATTAGGTTACGTATGACTTTGCTGATGTAGGTACTTTCCCTGAGCACTCGGTTTTCCTCCACGTCGCTCACTGCGTCGTCTTCGCTGAAGTACTCGTCCGGCTCGTTTGCCTCGTCTGTCACGTCTGGGTGCGCGCTTTCTCCATCAGCAAGGCCATCACGGTCATCACCATCACCACCACGATCATCATCACCGGTGCTGCTAGTGTGCCGCTTCCCCTGCGCCTGTTTTGGCTCTTCCGAGCGTGGCTGAGCTACGCACTCGGTGCTCGTTTGACCTGTTGGGCTGGCCTCCATGCGGTACTCGTCCTCATCCCAGTTGTTATACACACATGTGAGAAAAAACAAAAAGGAGGACAAGCAGTACCGCAAGTAATTAATGCGTAGCAAGTCGTACTTGTTAATAGATAATGCGCTTGGGGAAGCACCTCGGTTCGTCCCGTCCGATGTGACTCCACCAATGTCCCCCTCAGCAGTCGTCACATCCTCCCCCCCCTTGGACCTCTTCTTCTTCACATCAATAATGGTTATCTCTTTCGAGTCGAATATTTTTACCGACAAAATGTCAACCCCTCTTAAATTAGTTCTGGTGTTTAGAATAACATTATCATGGTAGGGAAGAGAAGACAGAAAAAAACTGAGAAAATATTTATTTGGAATAACAGTGGCGTAATTGACCCACGTGTATGTTTCATTGGTGCAGCTATAATCGATGCTTGAGCACACTGCAAAAATGTTTTGCGTCTGCCTTTTGTATATTCTTTTTTGTGCATCATAATCAAATGGACATAGGGAGAGGAAGCCAAGGACGGACCTGAAACTCAAATTACATTTCATTTTTTTTTTTTTACTCTTGTTGCTGAGGTCGGAACAATCGGAGCTCAAGTTGGGGTTGCTTAAAGCGGCTTCTTCCATTTGCTCTTCCACGTTGACACCATCTTGGTCGGCGCACTCGAGAGGAGCTTCCTCCTCCTCATCATCATCTTCCTCCTTGTACTGATTGGCATGGAAATTGGTGTAACCAACACCATGGCCTTTCGTTTTGTTTGTTATTTGTTCCGTATGTTGCGCCCTCTTTTGCGCCTCCCGCTCTGCGCGGCGCAGCTCCCTTTCCGCCTTTTCCCGTTTGCTGATTTTGTAATTATCGGTGTTGAGGAGGGTCCACTTGACGAGGAAGAGATGTTTGGGTTTGTTCATCTCGTAGTTGTGGTTAAAATAGGTACTGACTCGAGAGGCACCGGTTCGATGATAAGAACCTCCATGGGCAGAGGGGCCCTTCTTCCACAAGGGAATGCTAAAGCAAGTACGACCACTTGAAAACATGTTAATGATGTTAGTACATAGGGAAGCGTTGTTAATTTCGTCCTTCTGGTTTATATGCACGGGTACTATTGCCTGAACAGGCTGAACAACTCTAATAATATTTTCATGAAAGTTAATAAAAATATTTTTCTCTGTGTCATTTCCGTACATGTGAAGTAACTCCCTTTTTATTTGTTGCATAATTCCTTCATACACTTTTTCGTCCATCGTGTTTGTAAGAACTGTTCTAAGTTCAGGTCCAATTAGCACGCCATAATTATCTGTACCGCTGGTCTGGCCGCACTGCGTCTCGTCTCCATATGTGACAACAGGGGGGGAGAAGACTTGGTCGTGGGGAAGCGATTCATTCAAGTACTTGTTCACACCCCCCTTGTCGGAAAAATGAATGATATAAAAGTTCTTATTTCTTAGCAAGTCAAAGGATAAGTAGGGACACATGATGAAGAGGGCCTTCCTTAACACACTAAGATCGTGGTAATAGGGTCCCCTAAAGTATATGCAATTTTTTACATTTAATTTCTGTTGCGTCATATAGTTTAGTAGGGTGAGTAGCTTCTTTCCCTTGGCCTTTTTTTCACTGTCGTTTTGTATGGGTAAATGTGGAGACCCATGAATAAACAAGGGGGTGAAGGCAAGAGAAAAGAGGAACTTCAAATAAAGGTTTTCGTTGGAAGGGTCATAACATGAATATCTGGTGACGATGCGGAAGACGTTCGTCGAATTTACAGTTTCATACACGGGTTCATCACAAGTGTCATCCGCCTCTCCGTTATGTTGTGATGGGGTGCTTAAACTTGTGGTAGTAACTTCCCCCCTGAGAAGATTCAAAAGGTACACTGCCGATCTATACGCATTGCTACCCCTGTTGAGTATTTTTAACAATCGTTTGCACAAATTGTTAACGCTACTTACCACACAGAGAAGCTTCTTCGCATTGATGTGGTTTCTCTTGTTCATTAATGTGCAGGTGGTAACATAGTAACTCTTCAAATGAGATTTTTCAAATTTTTTTTCATTTTTTAAATCTTGCACGTAGAGTGAAAATACACATAGCCATTCGATAAAGACGTTTCTAAGCATGATAGGTTCTGAATACGTTTTCCCATCAAAGTACTGCTTCTGCTTGAGGGACGTTTCTAGGGATACCCCATAAGAGTATATACTCTTCGAGGTGAACAGATTAAAGGATGGAAATATGTCATTCGTGTTGATGATGGCTGTGACAATGATCGTGTCAAATGTTACATTCATTACAACCCCGAAGAGAAGTAATCTGCAAAGATTTATACTCATGTTAAAACGAATCATAATTTGCCCTATAATAGAAATAACTAGCTTATCCTTGATCTTAATAATCGCTTTCATTTTTTCTAGCTCGTGTCTCGTACTCCTTATCTTTTCCCTGGGGGGCTTCTCAATGATCATGCTGAGCACGTCGTACATACTTAGTTTGTTTTGGGGGGGTACTGTATCAACTCGTGTAGCCGACCCATCAGGTGGAGTATCCTGGAGACCTGCTTTGTTGCTTCCCCTTATTAGCTGACTCAACACGGGCATGCTCTTTAAAATGTAAAGATACAGCAAGTGTAGACTATGTGTGTAAACCTCGCTAACCTTGTGATCTCTTAGGAGATTCAAAAAATTTTTGCTAATCATGCGAATGCATATACCATGACATGTTCTCCCACATCTGCCCTTTCTCTGCTCCATGGAAGATTTATTAACCCATTTCTTCACTAGGATGTGGGCTTTCCTGTCAGCATTGTATTCAATATTCTTTTGTATGCAAAAGTCAATGACTAATCTAACATTGGGGATGGTAATTGAACTCTCTGCGATATTGGAGGAGAGAAAAATGTTAATGCTATCCTTGTAACTCTCGTGTAACTTATGAATCGTGTTGTCGTAGAGGCAGCTGTGGAGTATATGTATGTGGAATCTAACTTGGTGTTTGTTTGGGTTGTTATTGATGATGATACAGAGCTGGTGGTACATGTCTGTTATGTCTTGCATTCCTGATAGGAAAATGAGGACGCTGTCTCCGAGAAGGCACAAGTTGTGCACTAGCTCCAGACACAGCTCCGAGATATTCGAAAAGACGTTCGCTGGTATTATTTGTTCCACATCTATGTCGTCTTTGTGCGACTCGTTTCGGTCGTGTCGGTCGCTTCTTTCGTTTTTTGAATTGAACAGATTTATACTTTTGTCGTATTCGTTTTTTATTCTTTGTAGCAGAGCTTCTGCGCCCCTGGACAGGTGCAACTTCGTGCGGTTCTTTTGGCGCAGGATGAATTCTATTACCTTTTCGTATTTAGCGGGGTGGGAATAGCTTAGCGGCAGGTCTGCCCCTGACTCGGGGCAAACTTCATCGCTGCACGGTGCGCTACGTCCGCCGCAAGCCGCGTCACTGGTATAGTCTTCGTCCGAGTCGATGTCCTCTCCTCGCGCATAGCGCATAATATCCTCAATGTAAAACGTATCAATGTTATAAATTTTGGTGCCTATGAAAATGGACCCCACGGAGATGCTTTCATGCTCAAAGTACGAATGGAACATATTGCTTTGCATGGTTGCAGACATTATAATAAGTTTGAATATCTCCTCATCCTTCCTCTTACTGTGCAAATATACCTTAATGAAAAGCAAAACGATATCTAGGAGGATACTCCGGTCGTGTATCTCATCAATTATAACGTGTGTAAATTTTTTATACATGTTTCTGTGATGAAGAAACAGCTTAAAAAGGAATCCAACGGTTATATATGTGACTAAAGTTTTTTCGCTGTCATACACTGCCTCCCCTGCAATTCTGTAACCTACTGTGTTACCTAGCTTTTCGTTTATGAGCTCTGAAAGTATCCTAGATAAGGAAATGCAAGCGATTCTTCTGGGTTCAGTTACAATTATGTTTATTTTTTCTTTTCCTTCTTTCAGTTTTTCTTCCAGAAGGAACTTGGGTACACATGTTGATTTGCCAGAACCTGTTTCACCTTGAATGAATGTGATATCATGCTGTTCTATCATTTTTAAAATTTCATTTCTCGAGTTATATATGGAAAGCTTTTGTATATTCCTTTGGGCGCTCTTTTGCCTGTCCTCCGTCAGCAGGATTTTGTTCTCTTCTCTTTTCGTTTTGATCCTCCCTTGGTGGGCCACTTCTGGGGGTGTCTTCCCCTCCATGTGTCCTGCTGGGCGGGCCTTCTGGGCGTGGTTAGCAGTGGAGCGGTTAGCAGCGTATCGAGCAACAGAGGCGCGATTGCCAACGGGGCGATTATGACCGGAGCGGTTACCAACGGAACGATTACCAACGGAACGATTACCAACGAAGCGATTTCCTCCTTTGGAGTTGCCACCCCTCCTCTGCAATACATCCTCCGCCCACTCGCGTTCGCCCCCCTGGTACATACTCGCCGCATAAGGGGCATCACTTTCATCAACGCGGGTCCTATAATGCAATTCCCCACTAGGGCCCAGCACACCACTTCCACTGGCTTGGTACCTCTGCCTGTTCACTCCCTCCCGCATGGGGTACTCCCCCGCACTGTTATCTCCGTACTGGCCAAAGCTGCCTCTACGTCGGTCATTATAATTTGTGAACGGTTCCGCTGCATAGGGATTATTCCCTAGCACTGCACAGTAGCTATCTCGAGCACCGTTTTGGTTGTCAGCACCAGGGGGGTTGTACCCTTTGTGGGTGGCATACCTTTGCTGCACGGCATACGCTTGTTGGGAAGCCACTCCCTGGTGGAAGCCCACGGACGAGTGTGCACTAGCAACCGCTCTCGGGTCATACGCCGTGGGGAAGCCTCCAGATGAGTTAGCACCGGAGGAAGAAGCCACAGACGCAGCACCCATGCCTGCATATGTGTGATGGTCCGCCCGAACCACATGTTGGTTACTCTGACTAGGGTGATACATCCAAGTACTCATGTGCATGCTGCTCGCACCATGCGGAAGTACTCTGTTCATTCCGACTTGGTCCACGTTCAAAGGGACCTTCACAAAGTTGTTAAAAATGGCTCCATTTTGCGCATCTCCATACGGTAATTCTCCTATGCCATTATTACTCGATATGCGTCCCCCCATGAGATGCTCATTTTGGGTCTCTTCAATGGTGTGCTTATCCCACGACTGTTCATTTGCAAAAGAGTCCTGGTGATAATTGCCCCATTTAGGAAGCAAATTATGTTGGCCCAAGTACACTTGGTCATTTTCCTGGTGGTAATATGTCCGGAGGGGTGCTGTGGTACTTTCACAGGGCACTCTTGGAGGGCCCCCTCTGTCAGATGTGCTAAAATGGGTTTCATTGGGTCTTCGCATCGGATGATGGTGGTACCCCTCCTCTTGGTTACTTTCTTCCAACCGTTTAGTTGGATGCGTTTCCTCCTCGCCGTTCATTTGATAAACTCACAATGGGACGAGAGCTGTGGCTTTTTTTTTTTTTTTTTTTTTTTTTTTTTGTTCTCTCTTCAAAGTGCTTGTATAATATTACCCACCTTGGACATGTCACATTTCGTGGAGCACATACGGTTGCTTTTGCTTAACGGGTGTGGGGATACACCGCGTCGGTCCTTGAGTCAAATTGTTTACAACGTACAAAAGGATCCGCAGTCGGATGGAACAGGTGAGGTGTGCATAACTCGAGGTTGTTTGTATATGTATAACTGTTCCGACCTTTGTCTGTTCCTTATGCGGTGAACTTGCAAAAGTGAGGCAAAATAGGCGACCACGAGATGATACACTGGTACAGATACGAATGTGAATGCTCGTTGGTAGTGCTGGTGGTCAACAGTGACGTGTAGCGGTCAACAGTGACGTGTAGCGGTCAACAGTGACGTGTAGCGGTCAACAGTGACGTGTAGCGGTCAGCAGCAACGTGTAGCGGTCAGCAGCAACGTGTGACTTGAAACGAATGTAGAAAAACGTTTGGGCTGCCTGACAAAGGGGGAAAAATAAAAGGAAAAAAAAATTGCGCAGCAGAAACAACGCGAACAAATGGGCGAGGCCAAAATTACACACTCGATCAACGCGCCGGCATAAAGAACTCTTCGAAAAGAAAAAAAAAAAAATTCTACTGGGGAGAAGCCGATGCCAAATTTTAAATCGTGGCGTCAAATGGGGAGCGACCAGCGGAGCAGCATTTTTTTTTAAAAAAGGAAAAGGTAGGATCAAGGCGCAGTAGTAGCGACAGCCGCCGCAGTAACAGTAGCAGTAGGCCGAATGCACCCCGCTGAAGAACATAATATCGGGTCAAATGCGCATCCACGTGTATACGCAGGGGGAGGGGTTGGCATATGCCAGGATGTACATGTATACACAAGCCTACATGCATTCACACCGCAAAGAGGCACCTGATCAGTCTACCTCTCAGTGAAAACAGAATATATACCATCCCACACGATTTTTTTTTTTTTTTTTCACGTTGTAAGAGAAGCACGGGTGGGCAAAAAAAAATATTATATAGACGACTTTGTATTGTCTTGCGTAGCGGCTGCTCTACCAAAGCAAACACGCTACATCATACGCCATGGTCAACTGAATGAGGTGTTGTCGTGCTGAAGTATTCAAACGGGTATGCAGCGTCGCGCAGGGGACCTTACAACGTTAACAAGATTGAAGGGTACCATACGAAGGTTAAGGCACAAACTTTCCGGCTCGAAATGGCATAACTCCAACTTCCAATATTGGAAAAAAAAAAAAAAAAAAAAAAAAAAAAAATGGCCATTAAAAAATAAAAGTTATTGTACATTTAAAAAAATCGAAAAAGGTGAAAAAGTTAAAAAAAAAAAAAAAAAAAAAAAAAAAAAAAGTCGAATGGGGATAAACTTGCACATGCAACAAGTCAAACAGGGGTATATTATTGAGGAGAAGAAAGGGATGGAGATTTCAGCCGCGTTTTTCCCCATCCCATTCCACACACTTCCTCCTCAATTGTTGAGTTTGTTAATATAAGACGATATATTGTCCTCGTTAAAGTAGGTATTGATGCTTTTTTTGGTCTGTTGCATGGTTTCAATGTTGCCATTAGAACATACTTTCACCTCTTCGTCCTTATGCACAGCCTTCTTAACGGTCCACTTGTTTTCCATTAAAAAATTTTCCAGTTCATTCATATCTTGAAAATTCAAATAAGCCGCCATATTTTCAAGAGAAATATTTTCAAAACTTAAAGTAATACAATTTATTATATACTTCCTAATGTTTATGATAAAAATTTCGTGAGTTGCTAAGAAGGAGTAGTCACAGGTGCGGTTGTCCATCCATTGGTTGTTTTTAATGCAATTCCACATTTTAATAAAATGACATTCTTTAATCAAGTCGTACAAATAAACGATACTTTTTATTTGGTCGTCATACAGGTTAGGGTTAATGAGACTCAGGTAGATATTCATATCGATCTCGTTTATATTGTACAGGACACACACGAGGATTTTTTTTATTACAGTTTTGTCGAAGCAGTGTGGGTACAAACAGAACAGCCTCAGCAGCGTCAGCATCACTTCGTTGTCAAAGTGCTCATTATTTCCAAAGGCCACGTCCACATAATCGCTCAAAATTTCTGCGTTAAAAAATAGGGCATAAAAACATGTACCAATTTGTACGCTGCGGGGGCGGGGAGGTTAGGGTCGGTCCTCCTCTTGGAAGGTACTGCCAAACGGGGTCAGCTATATCTCATTATCCCTCTTCAGGTGGAGTGACCACCCCGCTATAACCACGGGGACACACCCAGCCCGAGGTCTTTTCCTATCTCACTTTCTACTCCTTTATAAACTTACTGAGCTTGGAAGCGTTGAACATCATATGAGGATAGACCTTAATGGCCTGAACCTCCTCCATAATATTTTTCACATCCATGGTTGGTTAATTTTCGAACGACTATATTATAATATGACTCTCCTTTTTACGGTTATGTAAAAAGGGGAAAAAAAAAAAAAAAAAAAAATATATTCACGGCGAATTCCTTCGTTAGCAAGTATGTTTTAAACAAACTTGTCGTTTCGAGTTCGTAAAATGGCGAGCCAACGGCGTGCTGCCTTTCGTAGGGCTGTTTTTGTAAGTGGGCATTCATCCACGTGGACGAGAAATGGGCTCCTATGTATGTATGGCGGTAGCTCCTTTCACAATGTACTGTTGTATGTGCCTAATTCCGCTTGCATTCGCTTACCATGCGTTCTGTCGCAAAGGTGATGCGTTGTGGGGAACAAGGCAGAATAGGGGACTGAGCTATAAAAAAAAAAAAACAAAACAAGCAAGAAGAGTTACCAAAGCAACAAAAAAAAAAAAGAAAAAAAGAAAACACATATATAAATATATACATATATATATACATATACATATACATATTCGTTTGCAGCGCGTGCATACATGTATAGTGCTATAACCACATGACCGCGGAAACTCTCGAAGAAAAGGGGCGTCGCGGCCGCGCCGCGGATGCGCATACACCTGTTTCTGTCGGCGCGATCACGTGGCAGTTCATTTGAGAAAGCACGCCCCGCAAAAATGTATATCCCACAGTGGAAGAGGAGCTATTAAAAAATGCACGCACGCAAATACGAAGGAACGATTTAGATGGAAAAGTGTCCCGCATTTTATCACCCCCCCCGTACATTCGCTTCGGCTAAGGGGAAGCCGCATTTTTCCCGCGCCATTTTCAAAATGCAGAGTGTTTGCAATATCTCACATCCCTCACCCTTCCACGTTTCCCCCCTTGCGCAGCACCGCACCAGCTATCGCCGCTCCGAAGCGATGCGCATTTCCCCCCTTTGGCGCACGCATTCAATTCATATGATGTATGTAAATGTATACACTTCTTACAAATAAAGGGAATTTTTTTTTTTTTTTTTTTCCTTTTTTTTTTTTTTTTTTTTTTTGTTTTTTTTTTTTTTTCTTCAATTTGCTGAAAGCACATTTTTCTGTGAAAAGGAAAGTCGTACGCCCAGGCGTCGGGCCCTGTCACTTCATTTTGATTCCATTCCCCCCCTTTTTGTTTGTAGCACTGATTTCATTTTATTATTGTATTTCCACGTGTTATTGCATTTTTCCCCACCGCATCGCATTTTATTATATTTTTTTTTCCCCCCCAACGAAAGTGCCGCTCCACTCGGTGGAAATAAATCGCCACTTCAGGGTATATAAAAAACGGACGTCCAGCCACACGCCTCCGTGCAGTTCCTTCATGTTTGCTAATAGGCACCCCTGTAACCTGCATATGGGGATAAGAGGGAAGGCATAGACGCGAGCAGAGAAACGGACGTCACAGTTAGTCAGTCGGACAAGAGGAGGCTACGCCTGAACAGCGGGAAATTGCGCGCACGCCGCTTTTTACACGCAGGACAAAGGGCAGTGGGCAAAGCCGCACCCCACAGGTGGAACAACCAGTGTATTTTTTTTTTTTTTTTTCTTTCTTTTTTTTTTCTTTGCTTCCCAAGATTACACAGCAACAAGTTAGAGCAACTCGATTTAGCAACTGTACAATGTATTCGCTCTATGTCAATAACCAGCATGGTACGTTAGTTTATGAAAAGGTACGCGCTTGAGTCGTTGAAAGTGTGAAGCCTGCATATGAGCCCCCATTTAAACTGGACTTTGTTGGGTGGTCATCCGCGATTATGCCTCTTCCATCTTGCTCTTTTTTTTTTTGCCCCCGTCCCCTGCAGCACTTCAGCGACGAAATAAAGCTAAACAGTAATGAAGAGATAAGACTGGCTTCTATGCTGCACGGCATTTCGACCATATCTGAGAAGATCAATGTGCATGCGTCCCCTCTAAATGAATCTAAGCGAAACATTTTCAAGTCACTAGAGAAGAAGGGTATTGAGACAATCGAGGGAGATGGTTTCAAAATCCAGTGCTACGACACGTTGACTGGAATTAAAATTTTTATTGTGCACAAAGATGACCTCAACATCGAAGCGAACACTTATTTAAAAAGGGTTCACGAATTGTATAGCGACATCATTTTGAAGAACCCCTTCTACGACATTGATATGCCTATACGTTCTGCGGTTTTTAACGAGCAAATCGAGAAGCTCTTCGCCGGCTTATGAGCTTAACAGCTTAACGGCCTTACCACTTTATCTCTTTATCGCCTTAACGTTTTATCGCCTTATCACCCCACCAGAAAGCTAAAATGAACCTCATCCTTAATGTACTAATTTTGATTGACGCAGCGAGTGTTACGTTTCTCTCAGTAACATTGCTTATGATCAACTTGAATGAAGAAAGTCTGTTACTAAGTCAAGCACACCGAGAAAATGGGAAAAAGGCTCTGGTAGTAGCCATTTTATTGTATGCAGTTTTTTTAGTTCTCCTCTTTACATACAAAGCCTACAAAAACAAGAGAAAGTTATACAACAACTTCTTCATGAAAAAGAGAAATGCACCCAGGTATGTTCAGCTCGCCAGCACTTATTTTTCAGCCACAGACGAGTACGAGCAGTACGAGCTGAGCAAGATTTAGCGTCGCGTTAGTTTGTGTGTGTGATGGGTGGGGTTAGACCAGTGCACACAGTTGTATGTGTTTGCAGCGGTGTGCAACATCCACGTGCGAGTTTGCCGTCGCTGTAGTTTTTCCAAACCTTTGCATGGCGAACGAAAGAAGCAGGGAAAATAGTAATTAAAATTAGCAGCCGATCTTAATGTTTTTACTTCTAATTCAGTTACACTAGTAGACTCTTTATGTATGCTCGTTTTTGTTTTAATTTTAGCTGATTTTTTTTTTTTTTTTGAACCATATTTTTGCAGCCATATATTTACAGCTATTTTTACAGTAATTTTTTTTTTTTTTTACCTGTCCATGTTCATATATTTTTTTTTTATTACACCCTTTATTCATATTTTACCTTTTTAAGTAAAATATAACTTTTTTTTTTTTTCACACAAGTTGTAAAAAATGTGTAAATAACAAAATAGCCTCTTTTTTTCTTTCTTTTACTATCATAATTGGAGCTCGGCCACAATGGAGGAGGGTTCCCTCTTTTGATATGTTGTATGTTGGCGTCATTTCACAAATGCAAATCTGCTCTGGGAACTGGCATTGCGCGCGGATACCTGAGCATAGTGTGTGTGTCCTTTGATAGTAACTTTCAAACAAGTGCGCATTTTTTTCTGCATCATTACGCAATGGGGAGATAATTGCCAAGGTTGTTTAATGCCGCAGAAGGTAAAAAAAAAAAAAAAAAAAAGGTTTTTCTCCCTACGCCGCATAGAATACGCAATGTGCTGTTCATTCCTTTGCACTGCCCAAATGGAAAAAGAACACACATATAATTATCCCCCATGTAAGTGTAAAAATCGTGGCTGAAAACAGAATTGTCACCCATAGTGTGGAATTGCCATAAGAGCATACGTATGTGCGTGCATTTTTAACGAGTATTTTTTTTTTTTTTTTTTTTTTTTTTTTTTTTTTTTTTGTCATCCTTCCCAATTGTTTGTTCCCATGCGAAAAAAAACTCGCTTTATTGTGCATCGAATGATCTCCTCGCTGGAGATTCGTTGCCCTTAAATATCTTCTCCCGTGCGGACGTACGATATGCAGTTGCATGAGCAGACTTCCTCCCATTTGTAATTTTACTATATTTTATTTATTGTTTTTTAAATTTTTTTTTTTGTGATCGCTGCATTTCCCGGGGGAAATTCCCAGATTAGTTTGTACACACAAAAGGACGGGGGGCACCTCGCGTGAGTGGAGAATTCTCCGTTGTGTGTGCGCGGCTGCTTGGCAAAGTGCATGCTATGCTGTGCTATTCACGCAAGTACGCATGTTCCTACGTATGCATACCAACCCGCGTGCACTCACGAACGCGTTAACCGCAGACAGATGCGCTTCCCCTGGGAAGGCAAAAGAGAAGCAACCAAAAAAATAACAATGAAGATGCTCGAGCTGAACTACTACCATGGAGAGATATTTGAAAAGTACAAAATCAACAGCGTGCTGTCTGCACTGGTAGACAAGCACAAGCTGCAAAATGAAAGCATCGACTTTAACGAACTGAGCAACAGGAAGAACAACTATAGCATAATGGCTCTCTTGGGAAGCCAAATTAAAAATTTTAACGACGATGTATACAAAGACATAGACACAAATGATATCATCTTAGCTCTCTCCAAGTTGAAACAAATTGACGAACAAATCACCATAAACGAAAGCCACAACAAAGATTACATTTTGGAGATGGCAGAACAACTGTATTATGAGTACTCCAACAAGGGACTCATCAGTAATGAAAATTCTTTCCATTTAAACAACAAGGAAAACTTCATCAGTATCAACTTGCAACTAATGAATGAAATTAACGCAGGGATTAGGAGTTACCAAAACAAGATTCCCTATTTACGTTCCTATTGCGATGAAAAATATCCGAGGGCGGAAGCTTTACTTCCTGTAGAGACAGCTCCACACCATAATGGGGACGCTGATAATTACAACATCTCGGGGTTGATTGAAAGGGAAGATTATTACAACGTGAAGCAAAATGAGCATGAGGATAATAGAGGGAGAAATGTTTTGGGTAAAAATACCTACTCGAGTAGAAAGAACAGCCAAGTGTTTGGGAACAGGACTGATGAGCACGACCTGGTGGATGCATTGGGGCCAAACGAGGATGACAACCATGTGGGCGTCGTCCGTGGAGGGAATGCCGCAGGGTATGGAGCTGAAAAGGGCCTGTGTGTTGTCGGTCCTAATGGGAAGAGCAACCTGTATCAGTACCGAAAGGAGGCGACGAATAGCACCTACTGCAACAGCGTAGAAAATGTGAATGGCCCCAGCGGGGCAAGCAGACGGGGAAGCCTAAACTTCCTTGGCGAAGAGGAAGGACACGGTACCCATATCGGGGTTGACCATGTTAGCGGCATTAATGATGACCGTGGTGAGCGCTTGGGCGAACGCAGCGCGAGGAGCATCAGCAACCATCGAAGGAGAAGCAGCCTTAGCAACGCGACACGTTATCACCAGGGGGAGCAACTTCTGCTCAGAGACCCAGTGAAAGGAGCCTATTTGAAGAGGGAGACGGGGGTGGCGAGAACATCTGGGCATACGGTACAAACCAGAAAAACAGCACAATACGAACGAGAGGAAGAAGACAATAGCTTGACCGAAAATAACCACAGGAATAGTGCCCTCAGCAGTGCGCAGGATTTAGGTATAGGAATGGACAATGAGCCAACAACAACATACAGGAGGAGAAGTTTTTACGATGCGGAACATTCTAATAGAATCAGCGCGAACATGTGGGGCCACCGACATACGAGGGCCCATGCAAGTGGAAGCGGTAGAGGGAGATTTGAAAAAAATGCCGATCTTCTACACAAAGATGACTTAAACTACTACGGAACCGAGTCGAAGAGAGCCATGAGTAATGTTAATACCATTATGGGTGCATATCACCCTGGGGGGAAATTAACTGCCCATGGTAATATTTTCACCAAAAAGGGCCTTAACAGTAATGACCGCAATGGGAGCAACGCCCCGAACAGCGTCCTCGAAAATATTGATAAGGCTGAACAAGAAATCGTTAACAACCATTTGAAGAATTCG